GGGGCAGCGCCCGGGCCCGGCCGCGGCCCCTGAGCCGGTGCCGTCTCCCCCGCGCAAGCCGCAGGTGCCAGCGACATCGAGGGGTTCCTGGCCGCCTTCTACAACCAGAGAGATGCCGTCGTGCAGGCGGCGCGGAAGCTGCTCACCGACGAGCAGGCTCCTCGGAGGCAGAGGCTGCTGGCGGATCTGATCCACAACCTGAACGAAAACAGCCTGGCCGAGGACAAGGAGGACGACAAGAAATGGTTCGAAGGTACGTCTGTCGCCCGCAAGGAGCTGCTTAGGGGCAGCAGGGCTCACGCTGCTCGAAGGAGTCGCTCCTGTCAGTTTTACTGTTCGGAAGGAAAAGTAGTTCAAAAATTCAGGACTCCTGGCTGGTGCGATTTTGTACCCAGTCCGGGGATTAGTTACCACCAACATCAGCGTGAGTTTTTGTGCTTCTCTGAAAGAGATGCATATTTACTGTCAGAAAATGGTAAAACAACCCCAATGTTCCCTATTGCTTCACCCAGGATTGCTCTGGAATACATCTTTTCCCCCGTCAATATAGGTCTGCATTTACAATCTTTTAACGATTTGCTAATAGTATATTGATAATTTGCACCTATCAGCCAGCTAACTAGACTTTCTTTGCAAGTTCCCTCTCCCATTCCCAAGTCATTGTTGCAGGTCGTCCTCAACAACTCAGTTTTCTTTTCACAGCCTCTTAGTGCTCTGTGTGTGCGCATTAATGAGAAACATTTAACAACTATAATATCAGCTACTGCTCTCACAGCAGATGCTCTGCGCTGTCCTTTAGAGTGCTAAGAGCAGGGTAGTCTTGAACCAGTAAAATAAAATCGGGAAAGAAAAAAATGTGTGCATGCTGAGTTTGGGAAAAGAAGGGATAAACACCCAGCTAGGCAGAAGCACAGCACTAGAAGTACTAAGTTACAACATAATCTAACTCCCTTTAGGTCTAGAGTCTCGTTTTAAGAACAAATCAAGCTACATGCGATACAGTTGTGAAAGCAGAATACGAAGCTACATGAAAGAGGTAACAGTTTCTGTTGAAGTAACTTACTTTCAAGCTGCTAGTAAAAGTAATTCTGTGACCACATATATATAAAACACTTTTACAGGGCAATATGCTCATTGTAGAAAAGAGCCTCAGGCTGCTACAGGCACCAAGGAATGACTGGGTTTTGTTTTTCCCCCACCCCTAGGTTAGTAGTTTTATTTCCAATGTTCATCCTACAGCAAGAGATGCATATAAAAGGATAATTGACCTGATGTCAGATAAACTGAGATCTGTGAAATACAACGGATGCTACTTTGACAGAAGAGAGGAGGAGGCAGTCCGCCTGTGCACTGCGGAGGGATGGTTCTCTTGTCAGGTAAGTTCAGCCCTTTCTGAAGCAGAGAGCCTTGGTTCCAACAAGCAGTGGCATGACTTGCAATGACATTAGAGGAAGGAAACAGGTATTTGGATGCTTGCATAGTGCAGTATCAAACTTAACGGGGTGATGTTGTCATAGCGTGTGACCTATCTTTGGTTCATTATAGCAAGTGGAAGGACAGCGCTGGGGTGACGAGCAGTACACCTTTCATTGTAGCCGTCTTGTTTTACAGGGACCTTTCGACAGAGATGACTGCCCATGTAAGCATTCTATCAACCCCTACGGTAACAGGGAAAGCAGAATCCTCTTCAGTACCTGGAATCTCGATCACATGTATGTACAAAGTATTAATCCAAGCTTACCTGTTTCATGCCCTTCATCTTAGGCAGGAAAGGTAGAGCCATTGAGTCTTTACACTGCCACCCCCCACCACCACTGTGCAGTTACCTCTGCTGTGACTAGTGCATTGGATGTGACTAGAGGCTTGGATGCTGCAGCTGTTTCTGATAACGTAAAATCCTGATGACAGATTATAATGCCATCTCTCATTAGCTGCTTTGCTTCTGTTCAGATTTTCTTTGTATGAAAACATACCCTTCCTCACCACGTTATCCTTTGTGAAGGCTAAAAAGCCCTGGCACAGGATAAAAAACTCTGGCAAAACCCCTCAGACCCATTTTCAGGCATTGTACACTTGTGAAGCAAACAAGATTTGCTAAACTAATTTCCTCAGGAAAAAAATAAATCATAAAGCTAGTTATGGTGAAAGAATTCAAATTCCGCCTGGCTCTAAAAGGAAGATGGAGACTTGATTATTATGAAAAAACTTTTGATGGCAATATTGTTTTCTCTTTTGTGTACTGAAGAATAGAGAAGAAACGTGCTGTTGTCCCAGAACTGGCAGAAGCTGTCAAAACACGAGATGGAAGAGAAGTAAACTGGGAATACTTCTATCAGCTGCTGTTTACCGTGGATAATTTAAAACTTGTACACATTGCTTGCCATAAGAAAACCAACCACAATCTCAGCTGTGACAAAACTAAAATTTACAGGAAAAGGAAGCAAAACCACAAGATTTCATAGTGCTATCTCTGGAAGTGACTTGCTTTTTACAAAATCATGTCACATGCTATCATTTTTAAATAGCTCTAGTTTCTTAAACAAAAACTTATTTAGGAGTCCCTGGCAAAAGAGACTTGCTAAGTAATTCAACTGCAATCTCACAACACATACATTCATATCATGCCTAATTCTACTCTCCCGCCTTCTCACTTACTACAAGCCTTCCTGTGTTAAGCGCAATAAAATAAAACTGTGAGTCAGATTGTAAAAATGAGGCCAGAGGGTGACACTGATTATGCCCTACAATCTCTTTCTTGCTCTGACAAACATAGACCCAAAGGGCGATTTAGTGACAGAGCTGCTGGCTCTTCTGTACCAAAATACCTGCACTCATCCACGACCATGCCATTTGCTGTTGCTTTAGATGTACATCTCCTAGAAGGAAGATCAAGGCCATGACATATCTTTGCTTTTACCACCTTTGTTCTTTGTCATCTTTCCCATTGATTTCCCTCTCCTTTCAGTTTCTACCTTTTTAGCTTGAATTTGCTTGGAGCAATACAAGCAATTTTACTGTATAATCATGTTTACCTGCCGCTTTAAGAGAATATTGCTTTTGTAAAACACTTCCTACCTCAGATAAAATACAAATAGATCAATTTTTACTTGATTTTTTTTTTAAATACCAGCTGATAGCATCTGAACTTTTAAGGGCTGTCAGTGTAAATGATGTGAATTTTTTTTAAATAAAAAAATTACTACCATTCTTCTGTGTGTGTATGTGGAGGCAGACGTGCAGGAGTGATTAATCAGGTGTAGTATAGCACAGCCAATACAGACTAGAAAGACTGAGCGCAGGAAAACGTGTTTATGAATGGAGCACTAGTTATTTACTGCTATGTAAAGATCATCACTCATCTCTAGGGAAGAACTCCGTTGTCCCCCATGTTACTGGTCCTCTTCTTACCTGGGCAAATCCAGCTAGTCCACACAAGATGATAGTATTGCTGTGTGAGCCATAACTAGGTCTTAGAAATGCAGGAGCTTTGCTACAGAGAGTATTGTTTTACTTTAAACAACAAACTCAATCCCCCTCCCAAACATTTCAACACAAAAAGTAAGCTGGGGGCATTTTAAGTACAGGATTTCTAATACCAATGCATTGAATCAATCCTTCCAGATTGCCTTACTGAATATACGCCATCGGTAACTAAGATGGAAATGCACACTACACTGTGTTGAGATTGGGGAAGGTATCACAGCTATGATTCTGATGACAAACACAATGTCGTCTGTATGGCACAATTCCTACAAACTGAAAATCACCATTTTACACAGTGCTGAAACCGAAGTGAGTGTCTGCGTGTGAAGACATATTTGCTATAAAGAGATGGTAGCAAATATGGCATTTAAGGAAAGCTGGGAGAGCTACTTCAAGATGGAGTTGTGCTGAAAACCATGAATATGCTATTAAAAAATTAGATTTTTCTGTGTTACAGAATTAGAGTGAAAAGGAGCCAAGAAATATCGTTGACAGAAACAATGCATCAGCTGGAGTGGAAATGTGAATAAATTAACATGTCATGCATATACAATTTGTTTGGCTTACAACTTTTGAATGTTTAACAGGCTATAGCTGTAGAAATTAATATTTATTTAAACCATCTGCTGATAACATTTTTTCTGTATTTTTAGAAATGTAGAAGAAACTATTTATAACAATAAAGATCTGGAAGCTTATTGCATAATCACACTTTCAAAGGAGTATTATCATAAACGTTGGGCGAGTTAACAGTTCCTGAAATCATCTGAGCTTGCTCACTGTTGTATAAAACTGCAGGCCAAAATAACAATTTCAGTGGACTAACCGATATCCCTAGCAATCAATACTGGTTTGTCTACCAAGTCCGCCCCTGAGAGATTTTATTCCTCCTTTGTTACCACCAGTATATTTGTTTACGAAATTCCTATTCGTAACCCTTGGAAGTCAACTGAAAATACTGCACGAGCTGCATTACACAACTATTAGAAAAGGCAATGCTTACAGCTGGTCTGGTGGAAGAGGGAAGCAGTCAGCTTCATGTGGTGGTTGTTCAGAGAACTGATGTGCAATAAAAACGTACTTAACTTCCAGAGATTAACACCACTGAATTCACATTGATATCCATGCATTTAGTTTTGCTAGCGGAACTGCATTTTAGAGGTTTAATTGGTTCTGGTTTAGATGTCAACAATGTAATACAACTTACACAGCAGAGGCCTGTGTGCCTCCTTCTACTGGGTAGTCAACTGGCTGCATTACTAACTGGATGCCACAATGTTAGACATCGCAGAATTAAAAGAAAAAGAACCTTGTTCTAACATGGTTTTCTTGGCTATTTTTAAAAAAGGAGCGAGACCAAACGTTCACCCTAGATATCAGCTCAAATTTATAAAAAAGCAATAAGAACTTCTATTTTCCCTGGTTTTTCCTAAATATTAGTGGTAAAATGATAAATTACAGTTTAATTCCAAATCACTGAAAATTCAGTCAGTCTTTGCCCCAGATAACCATGGGAGAATTCTGTATCTGCCAATTTCAGAAAAACAAACCTCTACCAGTTCTGCCTCTGAGAAAAGGCAAACACAGACACCTTATGTTAGTGGCACAGCCAGCCATCATTACGTGGTTGCAAAGAAAAGAAAAAAGGTTTCATTTGTTTACAGTTTGTTGTTAGACAACATCCTCTTCCTCCTCCTCCTCATCTTCCTTTGCAATGAAATGTAGCTTCCTGAATTCTCGCCTGCTCATCGTTGTGCTTGGGAGTGCAACTGCTGGGAGATCCTTTAAGAAAAGGATAAAATCATTCAGGAAGGTCTGTTGCGGCAAATGGCAGACCTCCTACCTCTCCAACAGTTCACATACTCCACATCTGATACATGAGGCACCACCACACACCTCTTCACTTGGAAGCAGTGGCATAAAGCAATAGCTAAAGCTGAGGAGCTTTCAGGGGAGCTTGCCTGAACCAGTCACAGCTCATGGTCAAAGCAAGGGCTGGCATTCCTTCTGCAGGCTCGAGAAGTATTCAGAGAGGGTGAAGTGCTCCACAAACAAAGCCTCAGTACTCCCACTAAACACCAACCGTGACCCCTGCTAAATACCAATTCTCATGAAACACCTAAAACATGAAGGCATCGCTTGCCCAAAGTTATGCAGTGTTAGAGGCAGACCTGGGATTCAACTTTCAAGCTCTGGCCCCTGATCGAAAAGCAGAGGTGGCCAGAAAGCTTCCATTCAAAAGAACCACAATAATCACAATTTAGAACCAATGACCAGTGAAAAACTATTTTGACAGAATAACACTCTATCTATGAGTAAAAATATCTATCTTATGGAATTGGAATAATAAAATCTAAACAAAAAAGATTTCACATCTGAAATTAACTGGCAAGGCATCTCAGACAAATAATTCTATCTAGGGGACAGGGATATGACTCCAGATGTCTACCGATACTGGTCAAGTTTGCCTACAATTTTGAGGCTAGCCTTCTTTTGTCTGAAGATGCAAGACTGAAGTGGAAGAGAACTGAATCTGTAGAGTGAACAGACTGTCATCATCTTACCTGGATAAACTCAACATCTCCAAAGAACCGGTCCACTGGCATTGGCTGGTTGCTGTCTTCATCCAAGAAAGCACTACCCTCTAACTGTATCGGCTTCTTCGGGACATCTGCATCCTCCAAGCTGCACCCATCTGACAGTACACTCTCACAGCTGCTTTCCTCTTCACTGCAGACATGATCGTGCAGGTTTTCATCACTGTCCATTTTTGATGGAGCACTGCTTGATTTCACTGCACGTGGCCCGAGAGAAACATTATGCTCCTTTTCCTGTTTCTCTTCGTCAGCCTCCGGAATGCTTTCGCCCCTTTTCTGTTGAATTATATTGCGGTCTCCTGGATCTTCTGAATGTTGATCCCCATCAGATGTTTTAGGCACTTCCCCCAGTGCAGCAAGGTTTCCACTTGCACATGTAAGTCCTTCTAGTTCTGATTTTACTAGACTGTTTTTTTCACTTTTGAGCCTCTTTGAGGGTTGTCCGCCAGCTGCTTTGCGTGAAGAACACTGTTAGAAAAAAAAAATAGGATCCTAAATCTTACTTGAAATAAAGAAAAATAAAATCACCATATCTCATTAGTTCAAGGCTGGATGTGGAACCGAAGGGCTCCATCGAGCAAGGGGCACCGTGATCCAAAGCTGCATCGCTAAGAAAAATAATTAGTAGAATGTGCACGAGAAGGAGGAAAGTGGAGCAGATAGCTTACACTAAACCACAACGTACAGTCCATCACCAGTGGAAAGCTACCTCTGAAAGCATAAACTAGCACCGTACGTGGCCAATCACCATTCTCCTATTTTCTTAGGGATGCTGTAGATGGCAATTAATGTAGCAGAACGGACTATCAGCCGGGCCAGCAAACCGTCCCGCCGCTTGCCGCACCGGGCAGCAGCCTACCCACCGCCTTCCC